ATGTGAATTTACCTTTTAGAAACACTGACACAAAAATCTTGTTCCTGTTGTTGGTTGCATATAGAAACTGGAAAAAGTCATATGAAGTGTCCAGAGGAAGCAATATTACAAGAAGCAAAAGATCTTATCAACAACTTGTTGTGAAGTGTCAGACATAGATTTCGTTCCAAAGGTGCTGATGAAATAATTAAATGTGTTGTATGGTGTGTCCTTTGTACTGGTTTTCTTAATAACATTTGCCTTTTTAAATGCATGAAAAGTTTTTTAGCCTCTCGAATTCATGACGAAGAGACAGTCTTTGAGTGTAGTTTGTGTTCAATCTATAATCCAAATTTGATGAGATCAAAATGCATGAGTTGATTATTTGTAGTTGATCATATATAGAGACCGAAAATTGATAAATGCTTTGTTTAGTTTGAATCGCAAACTCAGACATCATCCAAGTCTGGTCCATGGAGGAAGGGATAACTATATCTATCACCTATCTTTTAACTCATTTGCTACTCCCGACAATATATTCAATATTTTTTTCTTATTACATTCAGTTATGTTTAACTGATTCTGCTTTTACTTTTGCAGATGTTGTCGTATGAGTACATAAACTTTGTAGGATACACTTACAAAAACTTCGAGATCGTTAAAGAATATCTAGTTCCTGGAATGGGTATACAATTGATCACTGGTTCTTGTATTTGAGTGAAATTAGTTTGAATGTTTAGTATGCATGCTTTAATGTCGTTTGTAGAAGAGTTAAAGAAGAAGAACAAGTTGAAGCGTCCAACGGTCAAGTTACTCTTTCGTACACACATTTTTCCCTATTTCCATGGGAAGATCAATCTTGAAAGACCAATGTTGATCATGTTTACTTATATTATATGGAAGAAACTATAGGAATATATGTATAAGATGTGAAAAACAAAATATATGTGTTCTTACACTTCCGTATATTCCATAAAGCTATTTTAGATATTTGTGTTCGTATAAACCATATATAGTTATTTTCAGAGTTAACAAATAAGAAAAAGTAAATAAAAAATATTGCACCGCACTTAAAAGAGGTGAAACACACCTTATTACAAGTGTTCTTTGGTTCCGCGTGTATAAGACCATCCACATTGGAGACAAAATGTGGATGTCTCTAGATAAAAAAATATTAAAAACACATTCTCTTTTCCTTTTATTCAACTTTATACCTTCTCTTTCGTCCTTTTACTCAACTTTTATTAATTTTATATTTAAACACACTTCAACTTTCA